ATTTGTGCATTTCTGAAAGACCACAACAGACTTCAGAACCCTTCCAGGCAAAACTGCGGCTACAAGCAGGTAAATAAGAAATGTATCATGAACCATGACAAATAAAGACGGAATAAGTAATACAAAGATGTATAACGCCAGAGTATTACTGAACCATCTGTTACTAATTAAGGGGACTTTTCTGAAGTTTGGGTTGTAAAGCTCAATGGAGTGAACTGAAATCACTGGATGTTTGGGCCTAGAAAAACTAAAGCAAGGCAAGTATACTCCAACTAAGAAGCACCTTTCTCTTGAAGCAAGTTAAGCTTGCTGGTACTAATGGACTTTCAAAGGCTTAGTGATAATCGAATCATTGCTCAACTTCCAACTGCAACCCTTTTGTTGCAAAAGTAAACTGGAAAAGCAGGGCATCCACTCATAAAGAGAAAGTGGGAACATCTCTGAGTAAGGACGCAATCAGTAGCCCCCAAACAAGGATGCTTTTCATATTTGACTTTAAAGACCTCTTTGTAGATGAAGTGGGTGAGGTGGCCCTCTTCAATTAGTAAATACGTTCCCCACACTGAAAGGTCTCTTTCCAGGCCCAAGGCAATTAATTTGATTGGGCACCAGAAGGAATGTTCATTTCTTGGGTTGTTCTAGTTCCACCTGCAAACTATATTGAGCAGGGGTTAAGCACGGTAAGAACACATATTTATGAAAAAACACTGCGTGGGTATCCTAACTGGTAGAGAATCATATCCATAAATTAATAAATGTATCTTTCATCATGTTCAATTTGAAATATGTCTTTGATAACCAGATCACTTTGTCTTTCCCATACCACTATATCTCAAACTCTGTTTAACTGGTCATCATACTCCAAAAATTAATATAATAACTATTTTCTCAAGTATGCAAACATGCTTTGCATGCTTCTACACAAAAATATTCCAGATACTAGATTTTTACATAATTCTTATTTCAACACCATTAGAAACTGATTTGATACCTATGTGTACTATTATTATGTAATTTAGGTAAAATAACCCAACTTAGTTGAAGGGTTTGATTTCAAATCAGTTCTTAAGAAGCTCAGTAGTGAAGCGAAAACATTTTTTAAAAAGTTTCTAATTATGAACACAATACTTCAAGTAGCCATAAAACATTATTTTCAACGAAACAATTAGCAAGTAATGTCTTCTCTATGTAAATTAAGCTATTACCTTGTATTTGCTGTATTCAAATAAATGGATAAAAATATCTTAAGCAGATGTGAGAATATAATGAATAGAGAATAGAGTCCAATTCTTTAAAAAAATCTTTAGGGCCGGCCCGGTGGCGCACTGCTACAGTGCGCCGCTTGAGAGCGCGGCAGCGTTCCCACCAAGGGTTCGGATCCCACATACAGACCGGCCGCTCACTGGCTAAGCGAGGTGCGGGCGCAACACCGAGGGTTGCGATCCCGTTGCCGGTCTCGGTCTAGTACGGGCGCGACACTGAGGGTTGCAATCCGTTGCCGGTCACGAAAAAAGACAAAAAGGAAAAAAAAATCTTTAGAGTTCTATTTAGAAAGTAACTTTCTCAAAGAACTCAACAATACTATGGTACAGAGGAAACCTCTTTCTTGCTTTTAAGGAAAAAGCATACCAAAAGCAACATCAGAAAGTTACTGTGACTATTTCCCATTGGGTCACATAGTCTTTATTGCATAAGTAAGGGTGTCTCAATCTTAAATACCAAAGTCAGGCTTACTGATTGCCCACAGTTAATTCTGAGAACCATGTCAAAAAGAATGCAACACAGGGAAGCCACAACTGCTTGCTTTTTCCCCTATCCTGGGAGGTGGAGTGATGTAGACAAAGGCAACTCTTCCAGCTCTCAGTCTTCCAACCTGCAACTTATGGACTTCCTTGTTTTGACCACACTTCCCTACCCCAAGTTGGAAGGCTCCAGAATCTCAGTTTTCTAAACTGGCTCCAACCTCACAAAGTGAGGCTAGCACCATGACAGCTGCCTGGTCCTTCTTCCCAAGAATCAACACTAGAGCTCAAAGAAAGAGGGGGTGGGGTGGTTAATGTAAAGTAACCACTTTTCAAACACTTGCAAAGGGCTTTCAACTCTCTGCCTTTCTCTTTGGCATCAGTGTGCATGCTCACGCACACATACACACGCACACAGACATTCAAATCACACATTGGAGCCTTTCTGCTTTTCCATCTTAGGACAAATGCAAAAAATTGTTGAAGGAGGGCAAATGTGTTGGGTGAACTACAATGTAAATAACTTGGATCTGGATTAACTGTGCACTGTTGTAGGGCTCTGACGTAAGTATCTCCAAAATTAATAATGATTGCTGGGGTTGGCAGAAGTTCAGGAATCAGATTATTCCCTTTATTACAACAATCATCTAATCATCTCCCCACTTACCTCACCCCGCCCCTCATATGCCCCAACAAATATTTGTAAATTACAATAAAAACATCAAGAGGACGGGCCGGCCCGGTGGCGCACTGGAGAGTGCGCCGCTTCGGAGCGCAGCGGTGCTCCCGCCGAGGGTTCGGATCCCATGTGGAGACCAGTTCCCGCTCACTGGCTGAGCATGGTGCGGTGCGGGTGCAACCGGGCGCGACACCGAGGGTTGTGATCCCGTTGCCGGTCAGTAAAAAAGACAAAAAGGAAAAAAAAAAAACATCAGGAGGAAAAAAAGTGAGCAAAAAACATACTGGACAGAATTGTTTCCTGACAGTATATGGCCTGGCGATGACAGAGACAGAGAGAAAAAGTTATCTTTATTATCACCCAATTCTAATATGAAAAATCCTGTGAGCACCTATTTTTCATAACACAGTATTCTTTAGAATCTTTGTCTTCGCTCTGGTGAATCTGTCTCCTTTTTAACTAGGCTGACCATGCATCCTGCTCTGCCCAGGACAGTCCTGGTTGCTTACTAACAATTAGTGACACCTATTGCCTGGGTCGAATTGTTAATAAGCACCCCCTGGTTTAGACAATAAGCATCTCAGTTTACGTAATAAATTATGTAATCTCCCTAACTATAAAAGAACTACGAGGCAATCGGGTGACTATTTTAGTGTGTGTACTGCTGTCTAGTTTTTATGTTGATGATTTCTCCAGTTCTCAAAACAACCAAACGCCCTAAGCAAGAGCTGCTATCATTGGATACACAGGCTTTTTAGCAATGTGTTAGTTTTCTGTTGCTGATAACAGAGTACCTCTAAGTGGGTATTTTATAAAGAAGTGAAATTTATTTCTTACAGTTTGGGAGGCTGAGAAGTCTAAGGTCCGGGGGGCACATCTGGGGATGGCCTTCTTCTGGGTGGGGACTCTCAGCAGAGTCCTGTGGTAATACAAGGTACCACGTGGCAAGAATGGCAAGATTACTTTCATGTGCTCTCCTTATAAAGCCACCACTCCACACCATGACAAACCATTATACCATTACTCCATGAATGGATCAAGCCATTCATGAGGTCAGGGCCCTCACAATCCAATCACTACCTAAAAGCCCCACTTTTCAACACTGCCACTTTGGGGATTATTCGTCCACATGAGCTTCGGGGGGAACAAATATTCAACCCGTATCAGCCTACAACTTGGCTTTTCCTTTGAGGGCCTAAAAGTAACAGCACTAAGATCAGTCTTGCAAAAATTACTTTGCCGCAGTATATTGTTCCTTCCCTGGTATTGAGTCATGGCAGTGTAGAGGTGGAAGGGCCTTCAAGAAGTTTTTAAATACTATTTGGGGAAAGGGGAGTGGTGACAGACCAGTAGAACCTTTTTTCCCTTAAAATCTTGCTCAAGACCTTACTGCATAAAACCGTGAAAAGCAAAGCTTCACTGGTGGAACCAGGAAGTAAAGGCATAGATGCCCAGAGTCTTACCCTCTAGAAGATTCCCTTCTTCCTTGCCTGTCCTCAAGAAAGCCCCTGAAATACTCCCTAAGCTGGCTGCTCCTAGGAACATAGTCTGAAAAATACTGTTCTAGTCCAATTTGCTTAATTTACAAATGAGGAAACTGAGGTTCATTTCTTCAGCCCCTGGTCACACGTTACATTTTCATTTTCTGTACTGGTAATCCTACAGAGTTGTAAGTCAAGAGCAGTGAGGTCCACACTAATTGTCATGGACAGCTGCATCTTCTGAAGAGCTCTGAGTGCACCTTGTAACAAGGAAACATACGCTGATGGGTATTCAATGCTTTTCTAGACTGTCACTAGTCGACTTAAACACAGTCATTCAAAACAACCAAATGTGGAGCCTATGTGTGTTTCTTTCTCTAGAGGAAAAGGAGAATAAGAGCTAATAAGAGGTATTAAAATAATCTTAAAAATTAAGACTCCAGGGCCGGCCCAGTGGTGCACTGCTACAGTGCGCCACTTGGGAAGCGCAGCAGCGCTCCCGCCGAGGGTTCGGATCCCACATACAGACCGGCCGCTCACTGGCTGAGCGAGGTGCGGGAGCAACACCGAGGGTTGCGATCCCGTTGCCGGTCCCGGTCCGGTACGGGTGCGACACTGAGGGTTGCGATCCGTTGCCGGTCACGAAAAAAGACAAAAAGGAAAAAAAAACAAACAAACAGAAATATTAAAAGGTTAATAAAATATAAGGTCCTTTAAAAAAAAAAAAAAATTAAGACTCCAGAGCAAATATACATCCTAAGAATAGCTACCAAGAAAACCACTGAAAAGAATATTAATGATCTATGAGGATGTTTATCATACTATTCAGTAACTCTAAAATGTACACATTTGAGGGGTCTTCAAAAAGCCCATGGACAGATTTGTATTACCTTTCAATTCTATTTTTCTATGACCTTCTGAAGTATCCTCATATAAGGACAAAGTGTGGAAGAGAAGGGGCAAGAGAAAAAGAAAACAGAAGTGAAGGTTGTTATTGAGCCAGTGGAATTCCGATGATTTATTTTTCTACCTCTCCCAAACTTTCTTTTGAAACAAAGCAAAACAAAACCAGAAACACGGAATGCAAAGAGCACTTACCACGGAGACTTTGCTCACTATATCTCTTGCAACTGCTAAGCCTTGAGCGAAAGTGCGGGCTGCTACAAATGCACGAGTGACCTGGAGCTTCAGTTTCCGAGGGACGTCTCCAAAGGGCTTCAGCTCCTCGGTGTACTTGCTCACACATTCCAGATAATCATCTGTGAAGTGGTACTGGGAGTTCACCAGGCGGAACATCCGCTCCAGAAGGCGAGCCCAGAAGTCATTTAGCATTTCTTCCAGGTTCACGTTCCCTGCCACGTAGTAGCGCTTCAATTCTACGAAGAGATCCTTAAATACCTCGGAATTTTGCATGTATAAACGGCCATATGTCTTCACAAACATATCATTCAGGGATTTCTCTGCATTTTCAAGTAGTTCTTTAAAGAATTCTAAAAACAAAACAAAGAAGCATAATGGAAAACAGGGATTCTGGTAATTAAATAACTGAGGGCTTTTCAGGTAAATTGGATAAAAAAAAAATCATGGAATTGGAAAACATGCTTGCCTATAGGGTGAATTTCTTTTGGAAAATTTGGCATCTCTGATCATTTGTCAATGAAAGGAAACCTATGTCACAAAGTCACTTACATATGAGGGCACTTCAAAAAGTTTGTGGAAAAATAGAATGAAGTGATAGTATGAATCTTTCCATGAACTTTCTGAAGAACCCTCATATGTGTCTACGTCTAGAAAAGGGGCGAAAACGAAATTTTAAACCAACAACTTTTCAGGAGTCATCTGTACAACAACAAATTATACCATTCTTTCTGTGTCACAAGGTGAATAAAGAAAAGCTGGACAAAATGGGCACATGAAGTTTAAAACATGAGGTTTCCCAGAACTTTTTACTGAAAGAATCTAAACCAAAGTTAATCATGTCCCCTAACTGCAACTGAAGACTAGGCTGAGTGTTTTCAAAAGTTGTTGTTTCACTTGGGCATGATTTTTTTTCTTTTTTCCCCTCTTTACTTAGGTACGTGACATGCAGGAAAACTGCGTGGAAGATGCTTGAGTCCAAGAAAAGTAATAAAACACCCCTAGAAGCGAGCACATATGTTTTCTGAAAATATGTTCTTGGGTGTTCCCTGTGACATTAGTATAAGCTAGAGGTATCCAAGTTGACCCTGGGTTCCTAAAAGATTCATGTAGTAACATAATGAGACTCTTTCCAGTGTCGTGTTTGTGTGTGTGTGTGTGTGTGTGTGTGTGTGTGTGTGAAAGAGAGAGAGAAAGAATGCATAATGGATTCGACCACAGACTTTGTATCGTTATAAGACAACATGGAAAAACAGCTGAAAAATACAAATGAGAACACCTAGTTATTTCCGATTTATATTTCGGCCACCACACAGCCACCACACAGCCACAGCCTAAGTGTTAAAGATCTTAATCTCTTAAGTACAAGTGGCAAATTAGTTTTTCTCCTGGAGATTTTCTCAGGAAGTTCAAAGAAAAGAGGAACTAACAGAGTTATCTATAACATTAATCATTAAAAAAAAAAATACCAAGATGGTATAAAAATAAACACCTCATGATATCAAGTTTATAAGCAGGAAATACAAAAAAAAAATACCAAAGCAAAATATAAGGACCACATCAAATAAAAAACTGTCTCTAGGTGAACATGGAGCAGAAAAGAAAACATGGTGCCTACTTCAAAGCCAGAACACTGGCAAGCTTACCAAAACACACTAGTGCTACAAAACCATCCTCTTCTCACATTTGGTGGGCAAATCAGAGGCCGACTACTAATTTCCAATAGTTTTCAAAACCTGGACTGAGTAAACAGAAACCTTCTGGAGGGAGATGGACGTGGGTGACTTTCCTTACATGCCAAGAGACTCCATACCAGTGCCGCTCAAGCCCCTAACTCATCACTACGTGGCTCCTTGAGAGAATGGGGGCAAAAGTCCATAATCCTCCCTGGTCCCAGCTTTGCAAACCTTGTATTTTTATTTTTATTTATTTATTTGTGGGGGGCCTCTCTCCTTTTCCTTTTATCTAGTTTCTCCTTTCTAATACTGCTTGTCTTTTATCTCCTGGGCTTTCTTCAGAGAAAGAAAGGGAAACGGATTTCCTCTGCAGAGTAAACAAATAGACAGGTCAACTCATCTTCATTACAAGTGCACAGCCGGGCATTTTACCAAAGTTCTCTCCCTGAACGTGAGAGGGCAGGAAGCACTCAAATCAGCTACCTGGGTGCAGCCTCTATGGAAAATGGTATGGAGATTCCTCAAACAGTTGCAGATAGATCTACCATATGACCCAGCTATCCCACTGCTGGGAATGTACCCAAAGGAATGGAAATCATCAAGTCGAAGGGATACCTATTCCCCAATGTTCATTGCAGCACTCTTTACAATAGCCAAGAGTTGGAATCAGCCCAAATGTCCATCATCGGATGAGTGGATACGGAAAATGTGGTATATCTACACAATGGAATACTACTCAGCTATAAAAACGAATGAAATACTGCCATTTGCAACAACATGGATGGACCTTGAGAGAATAATATTGAGTGAAACGAGTCAGGATGAGAAAAAGAAGTACCACATGTTCTCACTTATTGGTGGGAGCTAAAAAAATAAACAAATTAATTTACCCAAAAACACACCAAAAAATACCGGGGGTGGGGTGGGGAAGAAGATATAACAACTATACTTTTTTTGTAGTTGTTACAACAAACAAACGGAAAGGACATTCTTGGGGGGGAGGGGAGAGAGGGAGGAGGGAGGGAGGTGTCGGTGATGGGCCATAATAATCATATACATTGTATATTGACAAAATAAAAATTTAATGAAAAAAAAAAAATCAGCTACCTGAGGAGGCCTTTTATTCTCTCCAAAATCTCAAGTGGTTTTCAAAGTGCGGACCTGGGATATGCATGCATCAATACCACCTGGGCACTTGTTAGCAATCAAGCTCTTGGCCCCACCACACTTACCGAACTGAATCAGAAGCCCAGAAAGTGGGCCCAGCCATCTGTGATCCCGCTGTACCCTAAAGTTTGAGAACTACTGTAACTGATGAAACTTGTCCCGTTTCACCTCTCACTGGCAAAATCACCAACAGCTCAGGGGCTGTGCTGAGTGTAAAGCACTTAGGGTAAATGTTAATGTTTTAATTAAGGGAAAATGTCTTTCCAGTGAATTGCGCTTTTAAAACTTTCTGTTGCATTTCTAAGAGTGATTTTCTTTTTGCTGTCTTGGGGACAAATTTTCTTGTGTGGAACTCCTTCAATTAAGTGTTAAGGTAGATGATTAAATGAATGTGGCACTTTTCTAGAACTGAAAGTTGGGGAGTCTGAGGGTGAGAAGGAACCTTAAATGTCACCTGGTCCACATCCCATATCATGCTTGAATGGCTAGCATCCTTGCCAAGCGGTACTTGCTCACTGGGGGTATAAAACAAGGCACGCATAGGTTGTTATTACATGTCCAATGTGTTGCACACATAGCTCTCACATGTTGGAAAAATAAAGCCTGGTCATTGGGAACAATATGCAAGCCTTGTGTCCATCCAGTGCTATTAACATGTCACGACCTAAAACAGCAGATTCCAACAGCAACCACAGGTCCTTTCCTATACTGGATTTTATTACACGAGTATTGCTCATAAAATTGGCACACATCAGAAGAAACTAGATGTTCAGAATTATTTGACATGTGCTTTCATACTCAATCAGTAATTCTCAATACTCACTTGGATTTTTGGTTTGGGGGAGGAGATGTAGTGGCATGTCAAGCTTAGTTTTAAGTTAAAGTTTCTAAAAATGTCAAGGGGTTCATCCTTTAGGCCTTAAAGTGCTACAGGTCAAACAAATGCTAAGACACAGAACATTTTATGGAAAAAGCAAAACATTCTTAGAGTTCCTCATTCAGGTCAAGAGCCTATGGGTTGATGTAGGTGTATACAAAGGAGAGGGAGAGAGAGGGAGAGAGAGGGAGAGAGAGGGAGAGAGAGGGAGGGAGAGAGAGAGAGGGAGGGAGGGAGAGAGAGAGAGAGAGATTATACTTTAAGAGATTAGCTTGGTGCTACATACGTATTAAATAAATCCTAATTCATTTTATCATTCAGAAAATTTATTTCCTTTCGTTCACATTTTAAAAGTCTCTAACGTGGTCATATAAGTTGCAAAGATGAAGACCATTTGAGTGGGCACGTGGTTAATAAATGCTTAAGAAATTCTATAAAACTGATATAACAAGTTAAAACCTTACAATTTATCAAATAGCTATGCAATTTGACAAGTACGTACTGAGTGACTATTACGGGCTCAAATCAAAGCACGCAGTTTTATCATGCATCTTCACCTTCTTCTTGCCCAATGAGAGTGTAATGAAAGTTTCTAGAAAGACAAATTTTCCCCATTCAGTTCACCTTTGCTATAATTCCACTCTCCACACCTGGTTTTTTGAGTGCACCAGAGATTTTTAAAACATCTACAAAATTCTTACTTCTTTATTTCTATAGCAAGTCCTTGAATATTCATCTGTTTCACCTGTGGGAGTCAACAGAACAAAAATCAAGGGATCCAGAATACCCAAACTCATTTCTCCTTTAGACTTATTCTTACTGGCCCCTGTTAAATGGAACTATTCTACCTATGCTTTTTGCCTTGTAAGGATGGCAGACATAATATAAATTCTAAAATCCATACCAATTAGGTACAATATCAACTAAAGCATAATAATTTGCTATTAGGAAAAAAGGGGGGGGATCCTTTTGTATCTGTTTTTCCTATTAAACTAGCAGCTCTCATATGTTCTTATATGATACTTTCACATCCCCACTCCCCCCTTTTCTTCCTATGACATTTCCTTCTACAATGAGGAATGGAGCGCAAATTTGACATTCAGGTCCCAGTCCACAGCCGTCAATGGCAACTTCATTAACTCCTACAATGCTCATCTCCATTTTCCTCCCATTATTCTCAGAACTCAGGATCAGGGTCAGATTTTAACTGTTGAAGAAGAGCTGTATAGGCTTGAAACACCTAGCAATCATCCCTCATAATCATTATGCCTAAAACCAATTATAATATACTTGGTGGCTAAGAGAGAACCAGCCAAGAGCAGTGCGAACCAGAGTTCCACAGCGATCAGAAGCTGAGTTAATTGGAAGTTGGATCTCCCTTGCAGCAATTGCTTGTATTCATGAAAAATGCTGCTTAGGGAATCTGTTTTAAGTGAATCTATTGGTGTCTGAAAGTCAGAAGTGGTGGTTTATAGGCATTTGAAATACGGTGTCTGTGATCAGGGTTTCTTTCCCCTTCAATTTTCAGTTTGGAGGTGTAAGTATATATGTTCTATGCTAAAGGAATGGCTGCTTAACACAGGGATGGAAATAAACACCTTAACATGCTACAAATCTAAAACAACATGACACA